TGATTTTGAACATCTTTTCATGTGTCTGTTGGCCATCTGTATATCTTCTTTGGAGAAATGTCTGTTCAGGTCCTTTGCCCATTTTTTAATTGGGTTGGTAGTTTTTTTGTTGGTAAGATGCATGAGTTCTTTATATATTTTGGAGATTAAGCCCTTATCAGAAGTATTATACTTGCTTTTAAAAGCTTTGTGTCCCACTGTTTCTCTGATAACTTTAGGGGGTATGGGCAGGGAGTGGATTACTGCAGAATTATTCAGCTTGACTCGAATATTCCAATAAATCAGGTTTCTAAAAACAGAGCATCTCTGCCTCATTTCTCCTTTCAGTGTCCTCTTGGAAATTGAATTGGTGATCCATAGAATCACTTTAATGAAAATTAAGTGGGTTTAAGGTTTACAATACTTAGTTGGGACGACAGGCTTCAAGACGGTGGATGGGACTAACTAATTCCCAGTAGAACTACTTGCTCGTTGTGCATGGGATCCCAAAGTTGCCCAAGTGGTCTTTCTCCTTCTCATGCCCAGAATGAGGAGATGGTCCGAGGGGAGTGACCATAGTCAGGACTTCCTGCGTGGGATGGGGTTTGGCCAGTGACCTCTGTTTTCCTTTCTAATTGGTGAGCTGGGGCATCTCTATGGAGTTTCTGTGCCTCCCTCTCTCTAGGGAGAGCCCAGCTGCTCTTTTGGTTCAAGAGGGGATGGCTTAAGCAAATCTAGCCTTAGGTAATTTGCCAGCCAGGGTTAAGGAGCACGAATCCAACGGTTTTGGAGTGGCACGTTGAAAGAACAGTGCACGGTCAGTCTGCTGCTCTCTTGTTCCCCCCCAAGGCCGAGCTCTGCCCAGCTAGTGCAGGACAAAGGGGGAGCTTTCAGCCTTCTGTAAATAGCCTATTGTCCAGGCAGAGGAGGTGGAGCAAGGAATGGCAGCATCTTGCCCCTTGGCTTGCTGCTTTAAGGAGAGATGTCAGGATTTCTTCATTTGCTGCTGCCAGAGCAAGGGTGCTATTTATGTGGGATTGTTTGAGGGCTGCATTCCTATTGAAGTATTCCATCAAACTGTTATTATTCAGCTGGATGAAAGCTTGAGGAACTTGAGAAGGAGAGGAACATCCAGATCACCCGTTTTTTGGTTTGCAAATGACACGAAGAAAATAAAATGCTAACGTAAGTATAAGTTTGCAGAATTGCAGGAGCTGTGTGTGTGCGTACACGCGCACACATCCTTAGAGAATGATGCCCTTGTGAGTCATCTCTGGCCCTGAACCACATTTTTTTCTGGTTCAAGCAGAATGGTAAGAGGCAAACCTTTATGTACAGTGGGCTTTGAAGCCCCATGTTCAGAGGCCAGGGTGATGGGATAAATGCTAGCGGTTAGATACGACATTGAGAGTTGCGATGGATTTCAATGCCGAGCTCTCATAATACCATGGAATGTGAGTGCTGGAAGGACCTTTAGAAGCCATCTGTTGTTGTCACAGTTCCTAACTTGGGGTGGGCTGAGGGGAACTAGTGAGCCCTATGTGCAAAGAAGCATGTGGATGCTCTTAGTGGAGAGGGCTAGTGGCGCAACAGAGGTTAAGAATTGTTTGTGTAGAGGAAAATTTAGAGTCTGGTTGGTGTCCCAGTCTTGGAAGAAGACCTTGGGGAAACGTTTTAAGTGTCTAGCCTTGGTGTCCTCATCTTCATTTTGTATTGTGATGTTCAGATAAGACATAGGACGTGAAAGCCTTTCTGAAACACTAGATCAATGCTGGTGGTGTCGTTAACTCTTCTTCCCGGAGTTTGGGCCGATGGGTACCAGGATTTCTGTTTTCTGACAGTCGTGCAGTGCAGTTTCTCTTACCTTGCCCTGTGCATCTATTTCTTCTCAGGTCTGTTTAAAGGTGTCCTTTGCTCTGGTTTTTTGCACTGGGCTTGTGCCAGATCTCCCTGACCGTTGTTACATTCCCGGCCATTCTGTGGTTTTAGACTCCAGCTTTATAGGAAATTCAGAAGACCCAACTGAGCAAAGCCACTTATTGTCGGTGCGGGAGGAAGGATGTGCAGGGGTAGCTGTAGAGGAAGGAGAAGCTCCCTGCCCATAGTCTTGTGTGTTCCTGACTGAGAGATGCTGGCTGCTTAAGACTTTAAGCCAACTGAATCATATTCTTAGCAAACAGCAGCATGATTATGTGCCTGGGCTATAAACTTCCTCAGATGATGTTGTGGAAATTTGCTTTTGAAAGAATTAAAAAAATATTCCAACCAGAACACCACTGGAATATGAATAAAATCTGAGTTTTAACCATTTGTTGGCAAGTACATGAGTCTTGATTCTTCTTAGAGCCCTGTTGGGACTGCCTTAAAGCCTTGTGTTTATGTCAGCTACAGCATTTTAGGCTATATATTGTGGCTAATTTTCTTTGACTCTAAATCTGTCTCCATTTCTAAATACCCCAAGTACCTTTTCCTTAACGGCAGTTAAATAAAAGGGAAAAGATTTATAATGCTCTCAGTTCACATTTGAGAGTTGTTCTTTGTTGTTAACGCTGTCAAGTTGAGTGGATTCTGACTCCTAGCGGCCCTCTAGACAGCAGAGTGCAGCCCTGCCCGGCCTTCTTGCGCCATCCTCTCCCCTTCTGGTGCTATATCAGGCACTGCTCCGCTGCTATTCATAGCTTATTTTGTGGCCAGTTTTTTCAGAAGTGGCCAGGTCCTTCTTCCTAGTCTGTCTTAGTCTGGAAGCTCCGCCGAAACCTGTCCACCAGGGGGTGACCCTGCTGGTATTTGAAATCCCAGTGGCATAGCTTTCAGCATCACAGCAGCACGCAGCCGCCATAGTATGACAACCGACAGACCGGTGGTGTGGTTCCGTGACTGGGAAATGGACCCGGGCTACGGAGGTGAGAGCAAAGAATCTTAACCACTAGACCACCAGGGCTGGCTAGTTGTTCTTTACATGGATCTAAATGAGGTTATTGTCTTAGTTCTTTAGTGCATAGACTATAGTTTTCCCATTTGTTCAGTGAAGTCGGTTTGCAGCTTGTTACCTGGCTGCCAGCTAAAAGGCATGAATTAAACCACTGTAGCTTGTAGTTTTCACCCACTACAGATAAGAATTCAGCTGAATTTAAACACTTAGCATTACAGATTAGTATCTAATAAAATGCTCTTGCATGGGTGCTACTGTATCTGTAATTTCCTGAAGTTTTATTTTTAAATTTTCTTTCCTAGACTTGTTTCTAGAAATAGATATTTCTTAGCATAATGCTCTCTACAGCTTGGCTACTGCTGATGCTCAAAATAGACAAAATTGATCACCTGTCTGTGACTGTGTTTGTTTATGGGGGAATTATTAATATTCTCACACGAGATTGTGATTCTGTCAAACAGCTCCTGTAAATTCACACGATCTGGGTTTTATGGAAATCACTTCGGGGACTTTTAGAAGAGAAGGGAGAAGGGCAGAGTGTAAGTGTGGGTGTAGGCTTGGGTAACTCCTGTTCAGACTTGGAGTGCTGTGGGGGTCATGAAGACAGCTAGAAGATGGAATGGTTTGAGGGGAAGGCAGGTGTGCACATGCATAAGGTTGCTTTGCATTTGAAGAGTTGCAGTACAGTTTATGAAGTCTGACTGCCCAGTGCCAAAGGACCAGACTCGATTTGTCCACTTATCCTCAAATTCTCAGTGTAAGCCTCCCTTCCACGGAGAGGCCTTGCCTGATCACTGGATCTCACTGGTGGTAACACTTATCACGCCTTCCAGATTTTGCCTGTTTAATTTTATATCTTCCCCGCTAGCTGGTTAGCCCACTGAGAGCCCGACCAGGTCATCAGCACTGTCTTCCCAGCTCCCAGCACAGTGCCAAGGGCACACCAGACACTCAGATGTGTTAGATGATTGGAGTAGCTCAATTCCTGTGAATTCATCTAGAATAAATCTGCTGAGTGTACTATGGACAATCTGTTTCTTTCTTGGTCGGTCTGATGTTGGTTTGACATACCACCCACCATCTGATCATTCATTTCAAAGGTTTTTAAAAATATGCCCATTGTCTCTTCTTATTGGGAAGCAGAGCAGAAAGAAAACAGTGTCTGTTTTCGGAGTTGGCACTGGCAGTGACACTAACTGATGCCTGTCCCTGCCCATGGGTGGAGCAGTGGGGTGACTCTGCTCCCAGCTCCTCATTGGCCCATCCTCCACCCTCTCTTCTCCTGGGGAGTCAAGTATAGATTTTTGTCTTCCAGTTACCTTTAGCCCAGTGGGCAGCTGTGCAGGACTCGGCATGTGACTAATGCCCTAAGAGACCTTGGCAGGCCGGGCAAGCACTGGCTGAGCTCTTCCAACCCCCGCTCCACCCCTGTCACCTTTTCTCTTTCTGCAGTGGTGTGTCACCTAGCAGTCAGCTGGTGGTGGCACAGATGGTGAGTGGTTTTATAAGTCCTGGTGCTTTCTCTCCAGAATTCTGACTTGAGGAAGTTTGCTTATCTGTTCTTTCTCTGTTGTCATGTTAAACGTCAAAATTTCCTCTGTGTGTGTGTGTGTGTGTGTGCGTGCACACGCGCATACACCTACCCAGAGCTGTTGTAGCACCAGTCTGCATGAGCTGAGCAAATACATGATATTTAAATACATTATATAGTATTGATGGCCAGTGAAAACACTTGGTATTCTGCTGCTCTGTAAAAAAATATACGATACTATAGATTGCAATTTAAAGCGGATGTCTCTATTTGAAAAAAGAAACTTATTTTCAGTTTTGTGACCTAGCTATTTAAAAGAACATATCGTAAGTAGCTCACAAATACTGTCTGAACTTATAGCTAAAATCTGAACACGTAGTGAATTGCCAGGAAGTTTTTGAGAAAAGTATTTCAGATCATTTACTATTATTTCCTTCCCTTTACTGCTAAACATACTTTAAAGCGATTATTCATCAAAATAATTTTCTAAGTAGAATTATTCTTATTATCTGTACTGCATATTTTTATACTGATTTATGTATAAATTGTCTATGACATTCAATTTGAGGTTTCATACATGTTGGGTTGTTCATCAAATTTTTTTCTGTGCGTTTTGGCTTCTTAATTTTGTTTGTAAACTCCTTGTATTCAAATATTATTTTTATATTACCTCTGTACCTTACTGTTCTGCACACAGGACTAATCAGAGTATTGGTAGAGGAAATAATAATAATACCCAGCATTTATTGAGCAATTTTTGGTGCCTCGTACTATTCTAAGCTCTTTCTTTGAATCATTTAGTTGTTATAAAAGCCCTACAAGATAGACACTATTTTCATCTCCTTTTATAGATGAGGAAACTGGGCACGGAGAGGCGAAGTAATTTGTCCCAAATCATACAGCTGGCAAGCTGTGGAGGCAAGATGTGGCTCTAGAATCTGGGATCTTAAATACTATTCTCTACTTTCAAATACTACGCTGTAATCTCTCTCTAGATATTTGGTGGTTGATTTAAAGCTTATGTGCACCAATTTGTTTATATATTTTAGCTACAGTATCTTGAGGAATATCAAAGAAATTATTTTATCACAATAGCCAACTTTGGTTTCCCCTGCATTTATGTTGTTGCTTTTATGGTACAAAGAGGATGGGAAAGTAAGAAACACATTGAAATTTTTTCGGTCTGTTTTACCAGTTGGAGAGCTTGTTCTGAGATTTGTTGGAAGAAATGGAAACTAATGGCCTTTAGATGGTTTGGGCCTGTTTGTGGCTCTTCTCCGCATTATCCGTGATCATGAGAGTTGAGTGCGTTTGATTAGGTGGAAGAGAACAGAGAGAGAGTATGAACATTTTATAGCGAGGATTCTTCATGAGTAAAATCCTTTTAATGTGGTTGATGAAGACTTCGCACAAGATGATAGAAGTAAAATGAATTCCTCGAGTGTTTTTAGAAAAATGAAATTTGACAACCAGGGAAAGACCTGGACCATTAGACTGTGGGTTTAATGCCTTGATTGGTCAGCCAGCCATTGAGTTAGATGGTCGGCCTTTGGGAATTCTGGAAAAGAGTCCGGCCTCCCTGGAACGAACATGACATTTTTCTCTTCCGACAGAATTCAGCTTAGGAAACCACCAGCACAGGACCATGCAAGCCCACGAGTTGTTCCGGTATTTTCGGATGCCGGAGCTGGCTGACTTTGGACAGTACGTGCGCACTCTTCCCACCAACACGCTCATGGGCTTCGGAGCTTTCGCAGCCCTCACCACTTTCTGGTACGCCACGAGACCCAAAGCCTTGAAGCCGCCATGTGACCTCTCCATGCAGTCGGTGGAAGTGGCGGTAAGTGGGGGGACTGGCCTGCCGTGGGGGTTTCCTTTGTATTTCCCCAATGAGTTCCACATTGATCATGATGACAATCACAGTCAAATATTTGCTTGCCAGGGTACTTTGTAAGCCGAAATGTGCTCAACCAACAGAAATTGGTCAATGATAGTAAATGGAGGTGGAGGCCAAAGTACAGGGCAGAGCGACAGAGGAGGTGGCCTTGGTTGGTTGGTGTGGGTCTACCCATAGTCACACAGAGGCTCGTTTCAGAAATCACATCGAGCTTCTTCCCTGTGCTAGGCATTGCGATAGGCCCAGAAGATTGCGTGAGGGAAAGGACAGGCACAGAGTCCCTGTCGCAGGGCTTGTGTTCCAGCAGAGAAGAGAGTTGTCAGACAAGCATTACAGAAGGAAGGATTTCACATCCCCCAGCTGTTGAAAGGGACTCTGGGATTTCAAATAGGATGAGGCTAGACTAGGAACTTGCTAGAATAACATGGCCACAGGATTTAGGATAGGACATGGAGGAGGAGGACATTCAGGAGGCATCTGAGGTTGAGCTGTTGAGGGCCATGGTTGTATATAACTTAGACAACGTAGAAGTCATGCTCCCATCGTTATGAAAATTAAACCAAAGCGTTTGTTCCGTAATTGGGGCTTAATGGGTGGGATGGCATGGGGAAATCTGGAGACCTTTTCTGAAAGATTCTTAGTGCTCCTGCTCTACCTTTCTTCCCTTCTGCATCTCTTTTGAAGGTGAGTAAAAAAATGTGAGGGGGCCAGTCTGGTGGCAGGTGGTTAAGTTCACGTGCTCAGCTTCGGTGTCCCGGGGTTCACGGGCTTGGATCCCGGGCGCGCACTTGCACACTGCTCATCAAGCCCTGCTGTGGCGGCATCCCACATAAAAATAGAGGAAGATTGCCACAGCTGTTAGCTCAGGGTGAATCTTCCTCACCAAAAAAAAAAAAAAAAAAAAAAAATGAGAGATTGAAAAGGTGAAGAGGCAGCCAAGTTCTCAGTGGTGCTCTGACTCTTCACCTACTCTCTGCTTTGTAGTGTCTTGCTTTCCCCTACCTAAGTCACAATTAATTTCCAGTATTTATTACTTTCAACATATATAAACAAGAGTGTTGTGAAATGCAGACTTGCCTCATTTGCTGCTTTTAGATGTAGTGGTGAAAGGCCAGCCCCCTCCACCCCCGGCTGATGGCCACGGGGAGGAGAGTGTGTCCTTCCTGATAGAGCCCTGGCCTGATTCATAGCTTTTTGTTATTTATAGGGTTTTAGTTCTTTGTGACAATTTCTTGGATTCATTATTGTGAAACTCTTAAAATATATAAAAGATATGTCAGTCTGATTCATGCCACAATGTAAAAATAGAATGACTGAACCACTGCTGAGGAAAGTGGGCTTTATACTTTATTTCTGTTTAAAGGGGAAACTTAATATTTCACCTCAGCTAATTATATACCAAGAATGAGTAGAATTTAATTTTTCTAGTAGATCTGTGTGAGGTTTCAGGCCTTCTTTCTTTTCTGGCAGCGGACCTGGTGTCTCATAGTAGCATTGCCATCGCTATGAAAAGAGTACTTGGCAAGTGCAGAGTTAAGATATTTATAATATAGCAGTAACTGTAAAAAATGCCTAATTTTTATTGTATGAGAAATTGTGGAGGTACTTACAGTATGATTTTTAGTTCCCACTTAGCATAAAGTCATTGAGCCTTATTAAAATAATCATATGTGTTCTCTGTAGAACAATTTAAAACTGCAGATAAGCAAAAAGAAAATTAAAATTGATAGTTCCACTCCCTGGTACACAGGCTCCCTGATTTTTCTCTTTGCTTATAGAAATAGATTTAGCTCTGATTTTCAGAATTTGTAGGTCTTAGGACTAGATACAAAATTTGCTTTGCATTTCTAAAAAACTTAAAATATCGAATTTAAGATTAGCTTGAAGTTGTGATGCTTAGTAATTATAGATGCTTTTCTATAGCTGGCATCATCATTCGGACTTCTGTGGCAGAAAGAGGAACATAATTCACTTCATTAAGTATTAATCAGGCGCCTGTATCTGGCACTCTTGCAGCGGCTGATCGCCAGAACAAAATATTGTTGTTTTGTTCCTACTTTGAAAACAAGTACGTAATACCATTTGCCAGTATCCACCCTCATTCCCACTCCCAGTTCGCATACTTGGTGTTTTTCCCCCTCCTGTTGCCATAAACTTTACATGGATATTAAAATGAGAAGAATCTGCCCTGTTTGGTTTGGCTGCCTCTCATCACTACCCACATTGGCCGTTTCCCAGCTACACTTTTTTTGTGTGTATGAGGAAGATTAGCCCTTAGTGAACATCTGTTGCCAATCCTCCTTTTTTTTTTTTTTTTTTTTTTGCTGAGGAAGATTGGCCCTGGGCTAACATGTGTGCCCATCTTCCTCTACTTTATATGTGGGACGCCTGCCACAGCATGGCTTGATAAGCAGTGCTTATGTCCGTGCCTGGGATCCGAACCTGCAAACCCCAGGCTACCGAAGCAGAGCTTGCAAACTCAACCATTACACCACCGGGGGCCTGCCCTCCAGCTACGCTTTTTTAAACCAGCAGTACAGAGGTTCTTTATAAGTTACAGCTTGTAAAATTTCCTTTCATAAATCAGGGTATTGAAGAGGATGTTGGCACTCATGCTATTATATACCGGCACAGGAAAGGCAGTGAACACATATGCTGTAGAATGGGACAGAGAAGCTGGAGTTAGGAACAGAACCCACAAAGTCTTTCTTACATTTTTGAGCATGGTTTGATCAGGAACCTATTTAGAGAGCTGTGTCCCTGTGTCTGCAGTTACAGTTCACCAGCCTGCAACAGTGACCCAAAGGCTGCCCTTTCCCTGTGGGTCAGGGAAGAACTTCTGTCTTCCAAAGGTTTTTTCCTGCTGTTGCTTTATAACTTTGAGCAGTGGATGGAAGCAAGTTATTGTCCGTATGTCTCTTTGTTTTCTTAAATCACTTTCACAAGTGATGTGCAAGTTTTCCAGTTTTGGCTTATCTCATTCTGTTCTCTGAGATGGAGATTCCCATGTCACCCTAATGAAGATGATCTTTACTGGAGTGACTGGAAACCCTTTGGGACTGCTCAGGGCCCAGATTTTGGTGGTTGCAGTTAAGGGACACAGGAAAGCATGTTGGAGCCTGAGGGGTCCAGAGAGGCAGAGAGATGTGGCAGAGGCTGGACCTCGCCCCTCTGCTTAGATCGGGCAGCCTTGGGCAAGGTCACCTGTTTTGTTTTGTTTTTTTTCTCTGGGGAAGATTATCCCTGAGCTAACATCTGTTGCCAATCTTCCTCGTTTTTTTCTTGAGGAAGATTATCCCTGAGTTCACATCTGTGCCAGTCTTCCTCTAGCTTATTTGTGGGTCACTACCACAGCGTGACTGACAAGTGGTGTAGGTCTGTGCCCGGGATCTGAATCCGTGAACCTGGGCCACCAAAGCGGAACATGCCGAACCCAAGCAATACACCATGGGGCCGGCCCCCTCACCTGACTTTTTTGACCTTCAGATTCCTCATCTGGAAAACAGAAGTGACGGTACTTTCCCTCCCTCCCTCAGTGTTGTTAAGAGGGCTGCATAGATATATGCAGTGTCTGCCTGGACTGTAATAAGTATTCAGTAAATGTTAGTTTTCTTCTTCTGTAAAGGTCTCCTCTTTTAATTCTCATATTTTATACATGAGAAAACAACTGGAATCCAGAGAGGTGAAATTATATCATTCAGTTAGTGGAAGATCTAGAACTCTGTTATGCTGCTTTCATATGTCATTGTAAGTTACGTATTATAACTAAGACTCTGTGGGGAAAAAGAGGATAAATAAGGACAATAAGGAAAATTTGTGTCTGTCTAGGTAAATTTGAAGAGTCAGTGGCTAGAGCTTCTGAACCCAGGAGCAGTCTCTTCTGAATATGGATATGTGGGCAAAGGAATCTAAAGATAGTGATGAAAATGGAGGGAGGAAAAAGGACAGGTAAGAAATGGAGGCTGAGATTCTGTACATAGGGTGGTTATAGGACCGGAAACTGTGGAGGATGCGGTGGTGGTGAGGACTGGGGGAGGAGGGGATGGAGCTCTCAAAACCTGGGCAGTAGCCACAGGCACAGCAAAAGCTGATTTCTGGTAAGTTTCTGCCTTTCCTCATCCTCTACCCCTGAACCAGGTGGGACGTAGATAAAATCAGAGCAGAACTTGGTGCTGATGGGGTTGTAGGACCTACCAGAGTTCAAGGGATTTAGGCAACAAACCATTACAAAGTATAGATGAGAACCATTGTAATTGCTGAAGGAGGTAGTAGAAAGAATATGTGAATTTGTTTAATTGATGAGAGATGTCACGTGTGCATTGAGAGGGCTTACTCGTCAAATTAGGTTGGAAAGATTTTTGATAGCTCTTACTAGATTATAAAGTACTTGAATGAAAACCCAAGTTATCTGTTTTGTTTTTAAACTTTAGAGAAGGGAATAAATTGTAGCAAGTAAAAACTTTTTTATACCTTCCAGTCTTTAGCCTTTCTAAGCTATCATTTTAAGATTCTCAGACCTTAGATTAAACTTTACTTCCGGTAACTAACGCAGTTAGTCTATAACAGATTCGCTGTTTAGACTTGTTTCTGGACCTTGGTTATAGCGTGGGTTCATACCTTTTAATAGGCAGAACCAGTTCTTTGAGTATCTCATCTTGTCTCCAAGTGGGATGACTTATTTCCACCCCAGATGATCTCATGACATTCAGGTCACATGCTGGCTAGATGACTCTTTTGCATGAAAGGTTGCGATTTAAACATCCATATGTTGGGATAAATAATTAGTTAGCAACTTGCCTTAGCATTTTAATCTTGTGCTCCAGAACGTCTGATGTGGAGGATGTGACACCTGGATTTAATTCTCTGTAAGTCACAGAGAGTAATGATCAGGCATTCATTCGGCAAGTACTTGAGCATCTGCCGTGTGATGTGCACAATACCAG